CCCCAAAACCCCAAAACCCCAAAACCCCAAAACCCCAAAACCCCAAATAATTAAATTAATATTGAAATTCTTCATTAAGAGAAATCTAGATCGTTCCCAGCAAATCCAACATAGCCTGAAAATCCAGTTTTTTTAGAGCTCTCTTTGCGTTTCTTAGGCTATAGTTGAGAAAGGTTTGGAACATACTTGGGGTAAAAAGATGTCAGACATAGGATTCAGAGTGCCTCCACGCTGAAATCCCATCATTCTAGCACTTTCCATTGAGGTAACCTTCTTTAAAGATGAATGCTTCCTAAAATTTTAGAAGAACCTTACTTGACAGGCCCGAAGGACCTCAGCTTGAGATCCTTTGACATTGTAGATTTCTTGTCATTTTTGAAATAAAAAGTTTCAAATCCACGTTTTTCTTGGGCGACCTTAGGGGGACTAAATTCTTTCTTGAAGCTCATTTTGGGAGTGAAGGTTCCTCCACCAGACATTACATCTCCCTGGCTCCCTCCAAATCTGCTTTCGTACTTGTCAAGTAACTTTTTATCTTGTGGAGAAGGTCTAGCTTTCTTCAGAGCTTCTATTGGAGGTTAAGCAAGACTTCTGGTTAAATTTTACCTTCTTCATCTTCTTCAGAGATCTGGTCTAATAAGCTTGCTTTACTGTTAAGGCCTCTAGTGAGGCCTCTTCTCAGTGGAGATTTGGTCTTCCGTCCTTGCTTGAAACTTGATTTACGTTCTTCAGAGTTGATACCACCTGTGCTACCAGGAGTGTGCTTTAGGTCTATAACTGAGTCTTCTTCGCTAGAATTCATGTTTGCTGAATTTTTGGCAGATAACTTCCGGTTGTTGAAGGAGTCAGGCTAAACATTAGACTGGTTCTTGGCTGTTTCTTACCTTTCAATCCGGGCTTCTAGAGAAGGTCATAAGTATACTTACCTTGAATATCCATCTCAGTTGGGACATTCTACTTCTTTGATTATCACTTGAGGCTCAAGGTTAGAACCCGAGGTCTGGGTCATCTCTAAAGAATTACTTTTGCACAATCTCACTGTGGTGATTAACTGTCTTCATATCTCCGAAGGAGACTGACACACACCGATTTCTTTGATTTGACGCTAAAGTTTTGTCTAGAATTAAGCAAGATGGGGTACACTTGTTTCGTCTACTCTCAGCCATTTGGGCTTCATCTACAGTTAACTGTGCTTCTTCTGCCTCTAAATTACTGGAATGTGGTTTCTCTGATTCCTAAAATAACCATATGTTTGCAACTTTACATCTGTGAGCATTCTGACCTATAACATAGCCCATGAATCCATAATTTGTAGTGTAAATTTTAGGTTGACTTACCACTTGTTCCTCTCTGATTTTACCTGAGATCTTGCTGAATTTAGCTAGAAGGAAGATGAGAGTTGAACCATGAGGCTTTCATAGAATATAGAGCTCTAAGAGGCTAGGTTTGGGGAGAGAACTCAAGGAGAGTTACCTAGTTTTAGCTTTGCTAATGCTTCTTCCTTGCTCTTCATTTTCTTTTCAAGAGTTATAAGATCGGTTTTTAGTTTAATAATCTCTCTGTGATGCTTTTTAGTGATTTCGAAGATTTGATCTAAATTTAGTCAGATTTTCGAGGTTTTGCAAGGAAAAGTTAAAGAGAGATGATGAGGTAGAGAAGAAGTAATTCAAACCTTCGTAGGAGTTAATAATCCGCTCTTTTAGAGCAAGCTTCCGCTTGAATTCTTCAGCAAGTTTTTCATAAGATTCTCATTTTTGGAGCACATCGTTCATTTTTATCTTCATTGATTCAGTTTCTACAAGTTAGAGCATATGTACCTTTGTAAAGGGTTGAATATTTCTGGCGTATTTCTTGAATCTGGCTTTCTTTCATTTCGATGATCTTCTCAAGCTCATGAATATGGATTTTAAGTCTATCAACTTCTGTCAAAAATGACACCCCGTAATTGTCCTGAGTTCCTTTGGATACCATTCTTGGTTTTTCAGTGATAAGTCTTTCCGCTAAAAATGAGGCAGCTCTTTTTACCAAGAAACCTTGAAGAGGTGATTTGTAATGCCTTAGCTTGGTTCTTGACAAAACCTTGGACATCGTCAAAGGCATTACCTCTCGAAAGTAAGGTGCCTGCTTCGACTCTGCTATTTCCGATCAATTCTAGGTATCTGTAGACTTCGCTGAGGATATCATCCACGCCTGAGAACTTTTTAGTCATGAATAGCTCCCTCCTTCTTTCAATCTGGTCCTTAAGAAGTTCCTTGATAGAGTCATCGATTTGACTGATGGCTTCGAAAGTCGAGATCTTAGGGTCTCTCTGGCTGGGCTTGTGGGAATCCCTTGAATGCATAATTTCTTTCATCTGGAGTTCCTTCTGCTTCATGAAGTCATCAAAGACAACTTTATAGCGAAGATGCAAGGATTTAGTGGTGTTATAAATCTCTGTTTGGCTCTTAGAGATGTTCCTGATCGTATCGTAGACATCTTTGTTACCTTTACAAGCCTGTAGAAGTTCCTTCAAAGATTCAGCCATTACATCTTGGGCTTCCTGGGTTGACTCAAGTAAGATATCATCTGAGTATTTCTGTAAGTTCAGCATTGTAGCATCAATCCTGTCTAAAGTTTGGCAAAAGAAATTTACAGTTAATTTCATCGCAAGTGAGCTTATAGCGGTGATCAAGTAAGCGCTCTTGGTTCTTCTCCTGTCGCTTACAGCTATTCTGCTGTTGCTGCACCATAGCTTTGATGTGCTTATCGACGACCATGAAAGACTGATTTTTCTGGCGGATTTTCCTATATTATGGTCAACCTGACACTTCTACAGGGGTCACTCTCCTAATGAAATCTCTGTGTCATAGACTAAGAAGCATGCTTACCTTAGATTATCCTGTTTGGATGATTTCTATAAACCAGTTGTCACAAAGCAGATTTTTTGTTGAATATGATATTTATAAGAGACGGAATGGCGCTTTAAATTCACAATTTATTAAAAGACAAAGAGCCTGCAATATTTTAGGAATGAGGAACTTAAGCAATTGATTACACTATAATTTGCTATTTTCCTTCGGCTGATGTTCGTCATTTTTCAAGTGACATTAATAGGTTTGAAAGTTGATATTATTTTGTCCCTATCGTCCCATGTAGCGGTTTGAATCCGGTTTTCTGATTTTTGGTTTGACTTTAGCTTCTAAATGCATATAATCTCTGTTAGGTATTACTCTTTTGGGGCGTTTGCTAGAGCTTTGGGTTACTCATCTTTTAGAATTATTTTATTATATCTTTAGAATTATGTGTGTTCTGGAAGGAAGAATAGATGGTATCTGGCAAAAATGAGGTCCTTTGAGGGGATTCTGGCAAGATAGATTTGCTCATAACATCATTTTTAGCCATATGAACCTCTATGCAGAGTTATGCTATGCAAACACCATGTGCACTTACTGATCTTATGAAGACTCTCTCTCAAAATTTCAGGATTTCTGACTGCTATATTTACTTTAATCTCACATCATAGTGAGGGTCTATTTAAGCCATCTTAAACACCCTTTGGTTTAGCTCAGGTATGAATATCAGCCTCTCACTTACTTGTTTGAATTCTTTTGATCTTCATAACTAAAATAAATATTTATTCCTACTTAAGGTACAAATTATGGGGTTTTGGGGTTTTGGGGTTTTGGGGTTTTGGGGTTTTGGGG